TCAATGCACCTGATACACTTGATTAGAAATTTAATTTTTTTGTTTAATAATATAGTTATGAATTCTATTTTAATAATTTGTTAACTCATAAACACTTTGAACGTAACAAAAGCTTGTTTAGATTCGAATTGATTTGTTTATCTATGATTGAATTGAAGAATGAAATATAAAGACGGCAATATTTTCTTCAATCATCAAAGTTTTCCAAAACCAGATTTCAAAAAAATAATATCATCTAAATCATTGTGGAAAAGCTACAACGTCATGATCAAGATTTTTACAACTGAAAAATCGATAAAATTTGTCATATTCACTAGTCCAAAAGTCAACGGAACCAACACTAAATGAATTTTAATTTTGCGCATTTCTATTTATAAAATATTTTAAAATATGTAGTCTTATCTCTTTTCGATTAAATATTTATTCAAAAAAGTTCTTACACACAAAAAATTATTTCCATTAATAAGTGTCTTTATTTTAAACTGAATTATAGCTCTCAGCACCTTTGCCTGATACTCGACGAAATACATAAACTGCACCATCTTTAGCATAACCAGGTAGAGCAACCCAAAATGTACGATGTGGAATAAGTTCTGCACCCGATTTTTGTTGACGAAATTTATAGTACGAAGCAAAACCGGCGAAATAAACAATAGCAAGGACAAGAAGGATTATAACAAATGCACCACCTCCACCAAGTCCACCACCACCACCACCTCCTGGTGATTTTGTCGTTGGTTGTGGTGGCGTATCTATATTAAAGATATTTTAGATAAACAATTCTTTTCACAATTAACTTACGTCCACAACCATCCCAACAAGCACATTTATGCGATAACCGAAATTTGTAGTTATTTATTGGGTTTTCACCCATAGCGTCAAAGTCTTCACTTCCATCGGCTGAACATACTAATGTAACTGTCACTACTTTTGCACCTTCGGTATACGTAATTGAAGGAATACTACCTAAACCAGATCCTGGATTCCATTTGACACTCTCTTGTTTTCCAAGGCTAAAACTAAGTTTTCCGTCCGCAGAGACTAAATAATTTATAAAGTGAAATAAAATGAATGTATGAATCACATTGAGCTACTAACCTTGACAAGCTGCAACACCTATACAATTAGGTAGCTCTGTAAAGGGCTTGCAGGGATTGTAACTATATTCTATAATTTGTAAATATCAATTAATAAATATTAAGATAAGATGGAAACTAATTTACTGTAATCAGCTGATGCTGGTGGTGTTTTATCTGCATAAGCTGGTTTACCATCTGTTCGACCAATACTTGTTAAATCAATGATACCTTTTGTAGTCTCGTATCTGCAAGGATCATCAGCAATTACAGATGATGTTAAAAGAGCACAGTTAATAGTGATAATAGTTAACCAAAACTTCGGTGTCATCATAGAAAGTTGTTTTTAAATCAAATGAAAGTAAAAAAAAAAGAAAAAGAAGATACTTTTCATCATTAGTTATCTTTTGTTTAGTCATACTGTTTACTGAAGTACTTCAACAAATCTTTCTATATAACTATATTACATTGTCGTTCTTTTTACATTACTAAACAATGATAACTATATTGTTCTTTGTTCTTATTCTTCATATAGAATTTACATAGCATGCATCTGTTGATAATTTAACTAAAAGTAAAGATTGTATCTATAATGATGGAAGATTTGGTACAATTAATTTATCTCATGTTGGTTTAAAACAAGGCATACCTGCTTTTCGACATATTCGAAAAGATGATTATGTTTATTCGTGAGATTTTGCCTTTTTTAATTTATCTATTTAATACGATCTAATTATAAATAGATACAATCCATGTTATGCATTTTCTGAAGAACCTACATGTATTAATGTAGCTATATGTCAAAGTTATTAGTGTTTTTCTTGAGTAGAATTTTTTCCTAACTGAAAAATTTATTTTTTGTAGCAGCCAAGGATGAATCAGCTTCTTATATTCTTGCTTACAATTCTATTGTAACATGGTCAATAAGTATAGATGGAAAAGTTACACTAGTCTATGCTACAACTGAACGACAATCAATTGTTAATCTTGTTTGTTCAGAAGAAATTGATCAACTTATTATTAATGAAGAATATGAACGAAATCATTATAATTTTACTTTAACTAGTAAATGTGCTTGTTGGGTTAAATGTTAAATAAGCTTTTGATTGTTTATCTTTTATTTCATCAATAACAATAACAAATAGAAAATATCTGAACAAAAAAAAATAATACTAGAATGAAATCATACGAAATAAATATCTGTTCAAATAATAGCAAAAAAAGAAAATAAAGAAATGAACACCGGGAAAAAATAAGTAGCTCGATTGTTCATGGAAAAAAAACAAAGATCCATTGATTTGAAATAGTATAGAATGAAAGTTAAATAATATCTGAACGAAAGCAACATATAGGTAGAGAATCCTGAGAAAAACGTTTATGCTACTATTGGTTGATTTTTATTAACGTCTTCACATGCATCAATCCATGCATTGTACACATCAATTGCTTCACTTAAATCTAAATATAAAAATAGAATCTCAATGCAATGAACTCATTTGCTAAATTCAGAAAAAAAAATCGTCGATTTCAATGATCGTACATTCAGTCAGTGATTAGATAATCGGTACTTTGTTATTTATATAAG